ATTATTTTTGCAAAGGTGTAAAGTCAGCCTGCAAACCCAGTGGAACAGCTGCCGTCTCCTGGGACTTGGCATTTTCACCCTTCTCCTTCCAGGCTGGCTGGTTTTCCCCTTTCCCCAATCTGCTTTCTCCCCACACCCCCTACCCCCAACAAGAGCCCCTGAAGAATCAGTCCACTGGCCTCTGTGTGTGTCAGAATACTCTTGGTTATAAATGACAGGCAGCTTAGCGACAGAAGGCCAGGCTTAGGGCCGCTGCACACAGCCGGATCCTGGAGCTTAGATGCTGCTGTCGGAATCACCTCTCTCTCTCTCACCAGCTTTCTTTTCTGTTGGCTTCATCCTCAGACAAACTGGTCCCTCACTTCCAGGTAGCCTGGTAACCAGAGTCCCCAGAAAATAGGACCTCTTTGTCTCAATAGTTCAAGTACAGATACTGAGTCTTTCTGGGCTGTGTGGATCACAAGCCTGGCTGCTGTCACCCAAATGTGAAGGCCCTTTGTTGTCAGGTGTGGGTCAGGAACTTACCTTGGGGCTGATATCGAGCTGGGGTCTGCATGACCCAGGCCACCACATGTGCAGAGGCAGCAGTAACCTGTAACTGCCATACCCAAGGACAGTGGCTGAAAACTGCCCATCGAATCCAGCTCTATTAGTTGTGTAGATGGGGTGACCGAAACCTGACATGCCCAAGTCAGGGGAGCCGAGAGCCACACGGCGGGAAGGCTGCCCTGATTTTCAGCCCCCAGTATCCTCTATTCTTCCCCTCCTTCTTTTCAGGGTGGGGGAAACAGCTTTTCCCTTCCTGATAAACAGAGTCCTTCACAGCCACTCTCCTGGTACTTCTCCTAAGGGCCATCTGTGGCATTGCCGTGCTCTCCCTCTGATGCCAGCAGAATGTGCCAGCCCCTTCAAAATCCAACACCCATCACTGAATCAACAGGATACACACAGGGAAGGATTTTCTACCCTACAATTAACAACAGAATAAACCCTGGCAGGATCATGTATGTGTCTAGTTCAGTGCTTGGGCCTGCGCTCTGTAAAGTGTTTAGAGAACTTAGCCAATTGTTGGGGTATTTTGCAAGAAGTGCACTTGTTTGGCAAGCGCAGCTCACATCATTAGCTGAATTCTTCATTCCCCCTCAGCTGATAGCTCTGGGGGTGGACGGATTTTGGTGTGGCCTAATGAACAACAGGGCAAAAGAGAAGAATTTGTAAGAACTTTTCTGTGTGTTTATGACACTTTCATAAAACGTATATCAATAGCGAAGCTTAATGAATTTTCATAAGTGGATCAAGAAATAGAATGATACCAATAGCTCCAAACCCTCCCTTATGCCAAACAACAAATCACTTACTTATAAAATAAAATCCTAATTAATTAGCGGCTGGATTCCTACTTGGCTTATGGGAGTTTATTTGGCATCACTTCTTAGTCTAAGAGCGATGTATCTTTTATTCCTTCTTGTTGAGTCTTCACCCGAGGCTGAAGTTCCCTTCAGAGGAATCCTAACCACCGGGGGATTGTGTCTGGGTCGGGTTATCATCTATGTCAGGGACAGAGGGGGAGCATTTGTTATGTATCTATTATTTCAGCTCCCATGTTGAGTTCTTCACATTCATCTCACGTTGCTTTTTAAAACAGCTTTGAAAAGTGTGTAGTCATTACTGCCCCATTTTACAGATGAGGAAGCTGAGCCTTAGTGATTATCCCACAGCAGGTAAAAGATGCAGGATTTGAACACGGGTCTGTCTGAACTCAGGCTGGAAAACAAAATCAGAAGGGACCTCTGGGAACTAAGGTTTGTTTTAATGCCACTGTGTTGTTAATTGTAAACTTCTGTGTCAGAGGTCCAAGCTTACATTTGTTGAATTTACCAGTTCCCTGATAAACTCTGGATTTTCGGTTCAGCTCCCAGCCTGGTGAAAAAGAGAAGTTAGCAGAAAACTCAAACATTTGGTAGGTTCTCTGGTGGGGAAGTCTGTGGGCGCTGGGAGCATTGCTGAAGCCAACCAGCTCCTCCTTGAGGGCTTGGGAATGTGGTCTGCGTTAAAGGGACACACAAGGCCTGATGTCCCTCCACCCCCCAGCTCCCTGGAATTTATGGATAATTTGCTAATCTAGTATAACTGCATTTTTTTTTTCTGAGCACTGTTTTCCAGGCTCAGTGACAGGATGTTCAGATATATCATCTTGTCAACCCGCTTGAAAGCAGGGCCCCATGAAGTTTAGTCTCAATGTGGTGTCACGGTCAAAGGAAAAATGATGGAAATGAAAACATGAGTGTAATTCAGGGGTCTCAACTAGGGGCAACTTTGTGCCCCAAGGGACATTCTTATCACATGTCATGTGTCATGATTTGGGAGGGCTACTGGCATCTCACGGGTAGAGGCCATGATGCTGCCAAATGCCCCGGGGCACCGGATGGCACCGCCACAGAGCATGACCTGGCTCCACAGGTCAGCAGTGCTGAGTCTGAGAAACCCAGGAGGTGCAGGGCCAGTCTCTGCTGTGGCCTCCCTAGGGAATGTCCAGGGCCAGAGACTGCATGCCAATTGTAGCCAGACTTCACCCTGACTCTGTCTGGAGCTCCCTCCGAACCTGTCATGTGGACGGCAGTTTCTCTCTCTCCCAGGCTCGGTGGCGTTCCTGAGTTCCTCTCTCTCCTCTTGCCCCACTTCTGGACCTTCCCCCCCTCCCTGAATAGTTTTCTTTTTGAGTCTAGATTTTCTCAAACTTCACGCATTCAGACATTCTCTTTGTGATTTTATCATGTCCTTGTTATCATAGTGAACTCACTTGTTTCAGGTCTCAAGGAATACTATTTAAGACATTCTGAATTTCATCAACATTATAACGTACATTTAAACATGTGACTTACATACATCAAAATATTCAAATTGTTTACTTGGAAATTTTATTCTACTAAAATTTTAAAAGGTTGACCCGTGTTGATATGTGCACCGTCAAGCCGTCCTGTGTGTCTCTGGTGAGACTTCTTCTGTGCTTTGGGAAATGCCGGACTAAACTTTCACCTTCTCCTCTAATGCTAATGGCAGCTGTAAGCAGGAGCCTCAGGGAAGAGGGGGAGCAACTTGCAGGCAACTTTGGAAATTTCTAGAGGCCGGCAAGTGGTGGGAAAGGGGCTGGAAAGTTCCTATGTTAATCATTTTTGGATGTGTTACACTTCATTTAATCATCGTAAATACATGTGGCCAGGTAAGCAGGTGGAACCCTTTCTTAACAAATGAGGCTCCCAGAGGTGAGGAGACTCATCTCAGGATTCACACCCAGGTCTGTCTGACTCCCCAAAAGCCTTTTCTCCCCTCTTGCTGTCATGATAGCCCAGGCTTGATGTCCTTACATGTTGTTTTTTTTTTCTTTTTTAATCTATATCTCTTTGACCACTAAAGGAAAGTGGATTCAATGCATAAGTAGGTCGCTGCAGTGATTCTCCCTTGGGGATGGGGTGACCAGTGAATTAACAAATGAATTAAAATCATGATGTGCTTCTAGTCTCAGAAGTTAAGCATTTTCAAACCTGACTGTCTTGCTTCATAAAATGTCCAGTGGGGTCCCATACAATGATCTGAGAAAGTGGCTGTGAAGGACATAGCAATACCCTACGGTTCAGGGCCGTTCGCCAGAGATACAGAGGCCAGCAGAAGGCACATGTGGACTGTGCTTTATCTCTTTGATGCACTCCCCAGGGCTACCCACAGTCTTTGGAAAACTATAGCAAATTGAATCATAAATTGGGGTTCAATTTTTATGACATCTCTCTAGAAATGCTTTTAGGAACATGTGAATTCACAAGTGGTAGAAACAAACATCAAAGTTTCCATGGTAACATGTGGCTCTGATGCCATGGGGTCCCAGCTCCACTGTCCATACTGTCTCTATGAGAGGGGCCAGGGCCCCCGGTTGGATTGGGGTTGGGGGCTCGGCAGCCCTAGTTCGAGTCTCCAATTGTTGGCTGAGGTCCCTGGGGTAAGCGCCTTAACCTCTTGAGTTTCAGATGCCTCATCTGTAAAATCAGGATAATCATATCTGCCTTGTAGGGTTACTGCAGGGCTCAAGAGCAAGAGCCTAGAAAGTACTGAGCACCGTCCCGGGCATATGGTCAGCTCTCCACGTGGACGGGCACTTTTGGCTTCTCACCATGTTCATTTCAAAGTCCTCTGTGCTCGGGCTGTTTAAGGTGTGGTTCTCAGATCAGCAGACGCATCCCTGGGGAGCTCGTCAGGGTCATGAATGCAGAATCTTAGTCTCTTCCCCAGACCTGCTGGATCAGATTCTGCACTTAAATAAGGTCCCAGCTGATTCTTCTGAGCATCCTGTTTGGACATGTCATCATAAACTAATGAGGAGGGGGGCTGCATCCCTTTAAATTACGGAAAACTGTTGGCAGCTGCATGTTGGCAGCAAAAAGTTATCGGCAGCAGGACGCTGGGACCCTGACTAGCTGGCATTCCTGGACACAGTCCCTCCAAGACTAAGTTTCTTTAAAATGACTCACCTGTTTTAGAAGATTGTTAATGGGACAAAACGAAATAATACGAAGACTGATGTGAAAGGTGAAAAGTTATTTTTATCTTGTTGACATAGAGAAAAGGCCATCATAATCTCCATAGCTTGGAATGCCATTTTCAAAGGATTCGATTCCCCATTCTCCACATTTGTCTGCTGAGTGGCTGCAGACAAATCCTATTATTTGGTGTCTTGATTAAACTAATAGGGAATAACAGTGGCCCAGGAACCACCAGCCTGGTATTTTTGGAAACTAGATGGGAGAGTTTTGTAGTTTGGCTAAAGGTATTGCCCTAGAAAAGACCAGAGCTGTGATCAATGGGGCCGTTTATGCCATGTACAAAAGTAGCAAATGAGTTGCAGTGTAACGTCTGACGGCCACAGGCAGGGGTCACCAGAGTGTTCTGGGTGGTGCGTTTCAAAGTAACACACGTTCCGCTTCCACCAAAGCTTTTTATTGATTCCGAACATCACAGTCAAAGCAAGAAACAAATGATTTTGCTTATATTAGCAGAAAATCTCCAAAACACAAAACAACCCTGGATATATTCTAGCACAGGAAAAAACAACACAATTGCACTCCAAGACTCAGCTTTAATACATGAATTCCTAAGAGGGGTGAGGTGAGAGAGGACAGATAGCAAACAGGCTGAAGTTCTCTGGGGCAGGAGAGGACCTGCCATGCCAGCGCTGGTCAATGGCTCTGGCCTTGCACTTCTAGGAATGAATTGCCGCACTTAGCAAGGTAACAGATGCTGATAACAGAGTCACCTGCCTTCAACACCAGGTCGAGCAAAAGGAGCCAGGAACCCCAAACATGCTCTTCACAGACAATTTCATGTGACAGAGAAGCAGAAGGTCTCCCAAGAGAGCCGTGTGGCAGTCCCACAGTTCCTCAAACTATGGGAAACTGTAGGAAAGCAATTTATCACATATGTGGCATCCCCTCCCACCTACAGTTCTCTCCCTTGTTTTAAAAGAAGAGAAGGAATAACAGAAAAAAGGATTTTTTAAAAGGAGTAATTTATACTTTAAAATAGCAAGGCATTAATTAAGTACACAAGTATATTCTGATTGTTCTAAGTATCTTATCCCTCCTTTGCTAGAATTTTGAAGGCTGCTTTAGATACAATGTATAAAAAAAGCTCAGCCACAGCAGACATCACCACAACAGCAAAACTAGAAACGGGGGATGAGAAGAGGAGGGGAACACAGCACGGCGTTGCTTCTTTCACGAAGAGGTCATCGTTTTTAGGTGACTGCTTCCCTGTCAATAGGGTAATCGAGTGGAAACTCGGGCTCATGGACTAAGGGCAAAGCTCCCTGTCGCTGACAGCTGGAGGTTGCTGCTGTCACAGGGCTGGTTACGAGGACATGAATCACCCTTGCTGTTCATGAGTCTGCTTTGGCCAGGGACCCAGCAGGCAGCGTTACAGACCCTGATGTGTGGAAAGGGGTGAACGCAGCACCCAGGGGAGCCCCCACTGATTCCTCCCGGTGACTATTTGGGAAATGGGAGTTTGTGACTTACCCACTTTGGGATCCTTTCAAAGAGTCTGTTAGCACATCTTTGTATCTTCTAAGTACCTTTTCCTCCTCTTCTTTTTCTAACCATCTTGGCTGCTTGGAAGGCCCGCTGCGCTTGGCGGCCCTGCCGTCCTAGCCCAGGCTCCCGCCGTTGCAGCTGCAGAGAATCTCCCGGAAGGTGTTCCGCAGCTCCAGGCTCCGGAAGGCGTAGATGAGCGGGTCGATGACGGAGTTACACATGATGAGCACCAGATAGGTGTTGAAGTGGGCGGCATAGCAGATGCAGTAGGGGTTGGTGGGGCAGGTGATGATGAGGACCAGGTGGAGGAAGAAGGGGGCCCAGCAGCAGACGAACACCCCCAGCAGGATGGTGATGGTGACGGCCCCCTTCATGCACGAGTGCTGCTGCGGGGCTGCCCCGTCGGCAGGAGGCAGAGCTGCGATGCGCTGCACGTGCAGCCGGGCGAACAGGAACATGTGCACGTAGAGTGTACCCATGAGCAGCAGCATGGCGAAGAACATGGTGATGAGGCACACGATGACCATCTTGCTCTCGGAGTAGACGATGAATACCACGCCGCAGACGCCGCAGCAGAGCCAGATGGCGGCGATGAGCGTGAGCGCCTTCCGCGCCGTCATGATGCTGTGGTAGCGCAGCGCGTAGAAGATGGTGACGTACCTGTCCACGGCGATGGCCAGCAGGTTGCAGATGGAGGCCACCAGGGAGATGCAGATCATGGAGTCGAAGACGTTGTCCATGTGCTGGATGAACTGGTCCTCCAGCCTCAGGTAATCGCTGTGCACCACGGCGATCATGATGGTCTCCAGGGCGTTGGACACGCTCACCAGCATGTCGGCCACCGCCAGGCTGCACAGGAAGAAGTACATGGGCGAGTGTAGGTTGCCATTCCTGACCACGGCCATGATGACCAGGACGTTCTCCAGCAGGCTGACGAGGCCCAGAGCCAGGAAGACCTCGGGCTTGATGAAGACCTGCTCACAGAACGCGCTGCTGCTCTGGTTGCTGAACGAAGGGGCTTCGGGGTGCTCCGAGCTGTTGGGCAGCGTGGGCTGAGTGGGGAGCAGGCAGCAGGAGGCATTCATGGCTAACAGCAGGGCTGCTCCGAGCTGGGCTCCGGCAGGGTCTGGGGGGGCTGCTGCTGCCGGCGGCGAAGACGAGATCTCCCTGCCGAGCCTTCTTTTGGAGCTTGTGCAATGTAGGAATGTTCCTGCCCACCATCGAAGAGGAGGTGGAGAGGAGAGGACAGGAGAGGGAGAAAAGTCAGCAGCTTGGAGACATAGAGAAACTTTCCTCTGCGTCTGTAGTTTTACAGCTACTCTTATCGGCTGCCTCTTCTCACGGCCTCTTACCCCCTCCTCTGTCTCTGCTCACGTTCCCACCTGGGATCAGAAAATCTGCCACTGGTTGCTACAGTTACGACTCTTTTCACAGCAAGACTGGGGATGTGTTACCTGTCGCTAGAAGTGAACGGAGAACACTCAGGTTTTATACATCAGCCAAGGGCAAACTACTCCTACTTGATGTTCAACGCAGCGAGACGACCACTGAGCGTCGCGCACCTCTCTGACTGACAGCAGGCACCTGCTCCGGCCGCCGCGCCGAGATGCGCAGCCGCCCGGCGCCCTCTGCAGGCCGCCGGCTCCCCTGCTCGCGGGCGCCGAGACCGCCGCAGACTTCAGGTCGGTTCCTCCGTCCCTTTGTTGGTTCGCTCGTTCATTCGTTTGTGGTTGTTTGAGAAAACACTTACTGAGCACCCACTCGGTGGCGGGTCTCTGCTGGGTGCAGGGAACATAGTGATGAGTGAAACGGGGGCTACTCCAGTCCTCCCGGAACCAGGGAAGCCCGGGGGTTGGGGGCGCAGATGGGAGGGCTCCTAACCTGGATGGTTAAGGAAAGTTCCTGCAGGAAGAAACGGTGAGAATTTTTGATTCCAAGGAAGAAGAGGTGATGAGTTTGGGCTTAGCCGGGGTTGAAATCTGCAGAAAAGAAGGCTTGGGGCTTTCGAAGCACTCCAAGTGGTTTGCTGTGGCCAGAGTGTGGACTGGGAGCCACCCATCTGAGAAACGAGGCTGCAGAGATTTTTATTTTATTTTATTTTATTTTTTATCAAGTCTTTGTACATAGATCATGAATACATTTATGCCATTATGGGATTCAATGTGTTGAATATTTGTACAAATTGGAGTGCTTACATCCTGCTAACCAACACAGCCTTCACCTCATTTACCCAATTACAGCATTAGGACATTTGTGTTCTACACCTGATAGATCCAACTTGTTCTTGCAATATGCTCCATAGCTGTGGTCCCCCTACTAAGATTTTTTTTTAAAGGTGAGGGGTGCTTATCCTAAAGGCAGCAGGGGCTGTGGGAAGGATGTAGGGAGGGTAGGGATGAGATGGGGTCTGCATTTTTGAAAGCTTCCTGGTTGCAGAAGGGATGAGGGTGTCGTTAAGGGGTCCAGGTAGCAGGTGATGCAGTGTCCCAGGGAGAGGTGATGTGGCCTGAGGGTAAGGGGTGGGGGTGGGGGTGGGGGTGTGCAGGGTGGGCAGAGATATTTAGGAGGAAGGATAATGGAGAACTGAGACTGATCGGATATAGGAAGGAGGGAAAGGCAGCTAGAAATACCCCTACTATCTTCTTAGGTAATGGACAAGATAGAGATGTTTTATACTGGGAGACGCAGAAGGCAGAATTTAGCAATTGCTCTACTGACGTGGTGTTGTGCTTGGAAATATGGTTGGATACCTGGTTCATGTAAGATTTGGTTATGCACATGGATCATGTGCACATGGATCATATATGCTCAGAAAGCACCGCATCTCGTCACCCCTAAGGGCATACGCCTGCATACACACACATTTCTGATGGATTAATGAGCCATTCCTCATCTAACTATGTATGTGGGTATGTGTGAATAGAAAAAAATATGAACATGAAAATAGGATACTTATAAAACCTTGGGGTAGGAAGATCTTAAACAAGATGGGCAACCCGAAACTTAGTATGGAAACAGCACCAGGAAGCAAGTCAGAGAGAAACAGAAAGAAAACATTTGCCACCAGCAAAGATTACCAAGAAGACGATCACATTAGTAAGACAGTGGTGGATTACCTGTTAGGAAACTGAACAAAAGATATAAATGGTAATTCACGGAGAAGGAAATAGAAATGGATCGTAAGCATTTGAAAAGGTGCCAAACCTTCCGGGGATTCAGCAAAATGCAAATAAATACGAGATTTCAACATCATTTTAGTTAGGTTGACAAGAATTAAAAAGATGTCCAATTCAGGAGAGAATACAGGGGGAAGGACACTCACACATTCCTCTTGTTTGTGAATTGTCTACTAAAATAAGAAATGCATGTGGGTATGAATCTCCATCTGTGAACAGAGGGGCATGAGAAATAGCACGTCTGTTTATTTTCAGCAGAGCAACTTAGTTTCTGATTCTTCCAGGTTGGGGAAGGTACAACCTTAATCCTTTGGGGACTTCCCACCCTTAGGGTCACATCCTGAGGTGCATTTATCCTATTGTAGTCTGTGGTTTCAAGGGCACGGGTCCTACCTGCAAAGCTAGATTATGAGTAAGGACTATTCACTGTCTACTAGGCTTTTGCCTGCTCTGTGCTTGGCATGGGCTGGGCATGGGCCACCTTTCCCTGCTTCCATTCTCTGGTCACGTGCATCCTTCAGAGAGAACAGCTGGGACTTGGTATTCAAACCTGTGTCCTCAGAGGTGTCCTCATTGCTAATGTGTGTTCATTTAGTTTTCTGTAAATGCTACTTCCCACTTTCCCAGTGGAGCTGCACAAACACAGTTATTACTTTTTAATTGAATCTTGCACAAATGAATTGGCTTTATTAATAACAATTGCAAGACAGTCACTGTTGGTGTTTGCCATATGTTGTTGGCATAAATGGGAATGCCTGTTTGAATCTGTTATTTATAAACTGTAACAAGAAGATTCTTATTCTAGGAGGTAATCCACCCGGTGTTCTCTCTGCTGGAAAAGCTCTTCTTCAATTTTGTGCTTGGTATACTCCTCTTATACTTCAAGATAACAGCATAAATGTCAACTTTTACTTACAGCTTTCCTCAAATCCCACATATCAGTTTACCACTCCTCCTAACCCACTGCCAAGTTAACAGGGGTCAGCACTCTTTGCTCAATCTCAATGGAACAAGCCACAAGAGAAAAAAAATTGGACTTTTTATCTAAATTAAAAATATTTGTATCTTAAGATCCTATCGGAAGAGTGATAAGACAACACACAGAATGGGAGAAAATAATTGCAAATTACACATCTAAAGACTTGTATCTAGAATATATAGAGAATGTTTGCAACTTACTAATAAAAAAAAAGCCCCCTTGAAAAATGAGCAGTAGGCTTGGCGCCTATGGCTCAACCGGCTAAGGCGCCAGCCACGT